AGTTTCAATGTTCTCGATTTTGATAGGGATTAAATTGACATATTGTGAAAAATACAGGGACTAAATTGACACATTTGTTTGACTTTCTGTTAAATTAACTTAACAACCGTTATTTATTGGACTAAAATGACACAGTCCGTTAAATTAAGGAAAAAAATCGAGCAAATTGAAACTACAGGGACCAAATTGACACATCGTGTAAACTACAGGGACTATTTGCATAATTTTCCCATGTAAAATTAAATGTTAAAATTGATCCAATTAAAATTGTAGGGACTAAAATGACATACACAACAAAATCTAGAGACTAATTTGTCCTAACTAAAAATATGAAAACCTTGAAAACTATATTGCCATAATTGTCGTTCATCTTTTAGTGATAAACATGATAAATTGAAAGGAAAATCACAATCCAGGGTAATTCTTCAAAAAAAATTCAATTCAATGGTAAATCTTATACATTTTAATAATTAAATTTATATACCTTTTCATTAATCTGCAATTTTTGTTTTTATTTTTTTTTTAAAAAAATACCACTGAAGTGTATTTTCCCCAAAATTTATGCTATAAAAAATAATTAAAAAAGAATAAGCAACTTCTTCTATTACCTTATTATCCTGGTTCGCATGAACTTTCCCTTACTAAAACAAGTAGTGCAAACACAGAAAGGATTGTCACCAGTGTCAAAGCATTCAGAGCAAGTGAAAAACATAGCAGGTATGAATGAATCACAGCCTTCACAGAAAGGTCTACCACTTTTAATAATATATAGTAAAGACCCATAACTTCCATGAACTCAAGACTTCCATGAGAGTCCCTCGTTTTGATAATAGTTTGTATTGAACACTTTTTAGATCTGCGATTTGTGTCCATGGAATGAACATTTGGTATTGGTGATCATTAAGAGATCCAAGTATAATAAAATTAAAGAGTTAAAAAATATATTTTTAGGCAAACATTTAAATTTCAATATATATATATGTGTGTGTGTGTGTGTGTGTGTGTGTGTGTGTGTGTGTGTGTGTGTGTGAGAGAGAGAGAGAGAGAGAGAGAGAGAGAGAGAGAGAGAGAGAGATATCTAAAATATCTAGGATTTTTAAGGGGTTGTTTGGGATGATCTAAATAAGTGCACTTTTTGACTTTTTATGAAATATGGAGTGGATTTTGGATTGGGTTTGAAATGATGTGTTGGAGAGGTGATGTGACATAAATAAGATGATGTGATTTAAATATGATAGTTACTTTTTGATTTTTTAACTTTTTTGAAACTTGTCAAATCAATCCTAAATACATGTTTTCTAACAGTGAGATTACCGTTGACCACAAAAGTTGATAAGGAATTGAATAGATTTTGGTTTGTGTAACAAGAAGTCAATTATAGACCGTCACATCATTTGAGATGTTGAAGCTCATACATAATGGGTTGAAGGAAAATCTTGTTGAAGAAATGGAAGAGTTTATCAAAGTGATAAATAATTGGACGTTTTAGTTTTAGTTTTTGTTTTTGAGTTTTAATGTGTTAATTTGTATTGAAATATAATGTGAAAAATGTAAATAGTTGAATTGTATTTTTTAAATGGGAATTCCTATGGTGTACCCTTTTACGGGGTGTATATCACATCTATCGTACCACATAAATATGTAACTTATTACAAAATTTTATAACGTCAATCACAAAATTTTATCATAAACTAGCGTAACAAAATGTCTAAGATTTTATGATTGATATTGCAAAAGTTTGTGACTTGATTATGACATTTTTTATTACGCCAATTTATGACAAGATTATATATTTAATAATTGATTTTGTAAAATTTTATGATAAAATTACACATTTTGTTATAAGACACATATTCATTTTCATTTTTAAATATATTTTTATATTGATAAATTTGTCATTGATAATTACTATTTCGAGTTCAACAAATTGGCAAAAATAAGTGCGGTTCACAAAACTAGCCCATGGCTGCACCCACATTTTCTGCTTCATAATATGTCGAAATGGGTCTGTTTTGGGCTGAGATCGCCTTTATTTTTTAGGATTGAATAAAATATTAATGTAAAAAGTATATAGATGAATGATCGGATATCAGTGGTTATATGTTTGAATTACATTTATCTTAAATAAATAGACGACAAATATAATTTCAAGAATAATTATCAATTTTATGCCAAACAAATGTGATTGAAAAATATAATTACCAATATTCAATTATTTTGATTTTATATTAAAATTCTAACCAATGAATCTTAAAAATTGAACAATGTAGATTACCGAAATCGATAACAAAATAAGTCCATCAAACCCAAACTATTCTCTCAAGTTGGATGGCCAAAGATAACTCGATAAAATCCAAACTTTTTTCTTTTCTTTTCTTTTATGTTCTTTTGCCAATCAAAAATTCGTTTTCCTTTCTTATGATAGCTCATACAGTATTCTTGTTATGCGCAATTATCAGAAAATGACAGGAGGGTAGGTTATATTTTTCTCTTGTAATTGGTTCAAAGGAGGAATAATTTGCGTAAAGTTAATTTATTGGGAAAAAAAAATTAAGATGATAAAAAACCAAATTTGCTTGTTTTCGCTTTTTTAAAAACATTTTTCAGAAAATTTTACTTTCTTGTTTTTTGTGTTTTTTTTATTTTTATTGAATTTTTTAAATATTTTAAGCAAATTTTTAAATTTTTAGACACACATAACATAAATATACATAAAAAGTATAATTTTGTGGAAAAAAATCTTTTAAAAATTCACTAAATACCAAAAATATAAAAAAAAAAATACTAGAATTCAGTATATTTTTCATATTTTTATGTATTTATTAATTTTTAAAATATTTTTCACAAATTTTTTACTTTTTAGATACATCTAAGTAACGTGCATCTAAAAAAAAAAACTTAAAATTTTAAAAATATTCACTAAAAAAAACACAAAAGATAAAAAAAACTCAATTTTTAAAAAATTTAATCTAAAAAACTCAAACCAATCACACACAATAGTCTTTAGCCTCCGTTTGGGAAGTGGATTGGCTTTTTGGCTTTTTGGCTATTTTAACCTGGGCTAAAAAGTTTGGTTTGGGAAGGGCTTTTTGGCTTTTTAATTTTTTTGGCTTTTTTTGTGAGAGAAGAATGTACTCCCTCCGTCCCAAAATACTAGTCCCTTATTCCATTTTTCATTGTCCCAAAATATTAGTCCCTCTTCAAAAATCAAGTACAAAATAATATAAATTTCCTATTTTACCCTTCTTTTAAATTAATAAACAACATAAAAAGTACAATTATGCATTGATATTCTCAAAAAATGTACTAGCAAAAGGATAATTTTGGAAAATCAACTTTTTTCAAATGCAATAATTGTACTACCAAAAAAAGTTGGATTCCCCAAAAGGGACCATTATTTTGGGACGGATGGAGTAATGATTATGGGTTGGATGTGATATTTTATTTTTTGTGACTAAAAAAACCTATTTTGTCTTTTGTGGCTAAAATAGTCAAAAAAACCCCGTTTAGCTCTTGCCAAACGGAGCCTTAGTAGACCTTTTCAAATTCAATCCTTTAGTAGATATAGAAAAAATGCATTGAAATAAAAAAAAAATTAAAAAATTTTGCAGTGTGTAAAAGTTGCAGTGAGATTTTTTTTTTTTTTTTTTCCCCTTTTTTGACATTTTCTTCCATTTATTGATAGCCCATTTGACTTACCATAAAAGAAACATTTTGACAAAAAAAAAGGAAAAAAAAGAAAAAGAAAAAGGAGTTAATTGCACTTAGCACTGTTGAGAGTTTATTTAATTTACTTTGAATAAGTCTTAGTTGTCATAGTCAGTTGTTCCTCTATTCTCTAAGGGCATATTTGATTAACAGGATTAGAGTATGGGATTGAAATTATTAATCCGTGAGCCCAATAATCCTATATTTATTTTAAAATTTTGTTTCAGGATTATTAATCTAATAAATAATTAATCCAAAAAATTGTGAGATTATTAGTAATGGGGTAGGAGTGGGATTATATATCCTGAGTTGGGAAATAAAATGAAAAAGACTCTTTTACCCTTGACTAAAAATTAAAACACTTACTATTTTTATATAATTTTATATTTTAGAAGGCTAAAAATAATTATTTGATATTTATTTTATCAAATTAGTTTATATTTTTTTTAAATAAAAATTAAAAAACAAACCAAGCATGGCTTTGTATTTTGTATTTTTATTTTGCTTTTATTTGTTTATTTATAATTTTTTTCAAAATCACGTTTATGAAATTTTTTTAATAAACTAAAGATTGTGAAAAAAACATTAATGGAGGATAAAATTGAATTAGAAAAGAAAATAAATATAGTTATAATCCTACATTCATATGTTTTTTTTATCCAATGCAAATCAAACAATAGATAAGGGGATAATTTATCCTACTAATCTAATTGGATAGTGAATACCACACTAATTTGATGGGATTATTAATACATTCACTATTAGTTTTATGAATCAAACATAGCTTAAGAGTATCCCAATAGTAAAGGAATCTGTTAGTCTATTGTTTCTTATTTTTAACAAAGTTTTGTATGATTCTATTTAAGTAGCAAATCGTCAATGAATAAAGTGTTGAATTCCCTCTACTTCTCTCTTGTGTTTTCTATATACTTGTTTGGTTTTGACAAGTGGTATCAGAGCTAAGTTAATGTCTCATGGCATCAACCAACAATTATGTGCAACCTGCTATTCCTGGCTTCGATGATCACTATGATCATTGGAGCATATTGATGAAGAACTTCTTAAGATCCAAGGAGTATTGGCCTCTGGTGAAGACCCGTATTCCTGAACCTGCAAGGGGAGTGGTGTTGACAGATACATAGAAGACAAAGTTGGCTGGCCAAAAGCTTAAGGATCTCAAAGCCAAGGACTATCTTTTTCAAGCAATTGATCGTGCAATCTTGGAGACTATTCTTGAGAAAGACACTTCCAAACAGATTTGAGATTCATTGAAAAAGAAGTATCAAGGCACAATGAAGGTGAAATGTGCCCAGCTTCAAGCTCTTCGCAAAGAGTTTGAGATTCTTCATATGAAAGAGGGAGAGTCTGTTTTTGACTATTTTTCAAGGACGATGCTGATTACAAGTAAGATGTACATCCAGGGTGAAAAAATGGAAGATGTTATAGTAGTTGAAAAAATTCTTCGATCAATGACAACAAAATTTGACTATGTTGTCTGTTCAATCGAGGAATCAAATAACATGGATGAGCTTTCAATTGATGAACTGCAGAGTTCCTTGTTGGTCCATGAGCAAAAGGTCAACTGTACAACCTCAGAGGAGCAAGCCTTGAAAATTTCAATGAATAATGAATTCTCAACATCGAAAGGATCGAGTCGAGGTCGAGGAAGAGGACGAGGCAGATGTAACAGAGAAGGAAGCAGACTCACAAATTACAAATCAGAAGATCATCACACCTATGATCCCCGTTGGAAAGGCAAAGGACTCGAAAATCGATAGTTAACCAACTATGAATCAAAATGGGACAAATCAAATATTGAGTGCTTTAAATGTCACAAGCTTGGTCATTACCATTCTGAATGTCGCACCAACTTGCAAAAGGAAAATGGAGACTAATCCAAGTTCGTAGAAGAAGAAGAAGCCACTCTTTTGATGGCATGTCATACCATAGAAGAAAATCACCAAAACCTATGGTTTATAGACACAGGTTGCAGCAATCATATGTGTGGCAGTAAGTCAATTTTTTTCAAAGTTAGACGAATCTTTTCGAATGATAGTACGATCTGGAGACAATTCAAAAAAATTTGTTATGGGAAAAGGTAACGTTCAAATCTAAACACAAGCTAATACTCTTCAAACCATTTCTAGTGTTTTCTATGTTCCTGATTTGAAGAGCAACTTGCTTAGTGTGGGTCAACTTCAAGAGAAAAGGTATGAGATCATGATCTACGATGGTGTTTGTCAGATAAATGATCCGAAAAAAGTGTCATGATGACAACGAATTGAATGTTCCCATTGAATATCAAGAATGATATTCAGTCATCTTTCATTACCAAAGTAAATGATTCAACATGGCTTTGGCATTTTCGCTATGGTCATCTGAACTTCACTAGATTACAACATTACAAGAGAAAGAGATGGTGACTGGCCTTCCTCTGATCATTTGTCCCTCCAAAGTTTGTGAAAAATGTGTTGTTGGCAAGCAACACTGTCATCATTTTCCAAAAAGGAAGGCATGGAGAGCTCATAGACCATTGGAGTTAATTCATTTCGATATATGTGGACCGATTACTCTGGTATCCAACGGTAACAAACGATAATTTATTTCTTTTATTGACGATTATAGTCAGAAAGCTTGGGTATATTTATTACAGGAAAAGTCTAAAGTTTTTTCAACTTTTAAAAGCTTTAAGGCTCTTGTAGAAAATAAAGTTGGAAGAGACATTAAAACTCATCGTACTGATTGTGGCGGAGAGTACAACTCACAAGAATTTGCTAATTTTTGTGATATGCATGGTATCCGGAGGCAACTTACAACAACCTACACACCACAACAAAATAGTGTGTCCTAGAGAAAGAATTAGACAATTCTAAATATGGTGAGAAGCATGCTAGTAGGAGGGAGCATTCCAAAGAATTTCTAGCCTGAAGCAGTAAACTAGAGCATGCATATACTGAATCAGCGTCCCACATTTGTTGTTCAAGACATGATACTTGCAAAGGCATGGAGTGGACATAGACCAAACGTTAACCACTTCAAAATTTTTGGTTGCATTGCCTATGCTCACATTCCAGATGAGAAGAGAAGAAAGCTAGATCCCAAAGGAGAAAAATGCATTTTTCTTGGTGCTAGTGATCAATCAAAAGGTTACAAATTGTATAATCCTATCACCAAGAAAATTGTATCAGTCATGATGTTTTTGATGAAACAAATATCTGGTCATGGGATGATAGTGGTGATGGACATCAAATTCCAACAACTTTTGATTATGATGATGATGAGAGGAGGCATCAACTTGGTGAATGAGCAACATTCAACAGGTTCCACTCTCACAACAGATCAAAATCCACCGTGGCTGAAGTTGATGAATTTTCAAATGGGCAACAAGATATAACAACAAGTTCACGTCCTCAACGCATTACACAAAGACCTGCATGGATGAGTGATTATGATGTCAGTGGTCTTGATCAATCTGAAGACCCACTCACACATTTTGCTCTTTTTTCAGATTGTGCTTCTATAGTCTTTCAAGATGCGGTCAAAGAATCAAAATAGGAAAAGGTTATGGATGAAGAGATTAAAGCTATTGAGAAAAACAGCACTTAGGAGTTAACAAATCTTCCTAATGGGCAGAAAATGATCGATGTCAAGTGGGTCTACCAAACCAAGTTGAATGCGAAATGAGAAATTGATAAGTATAAAGCACGTTTGGTGGCGAAAGGTTACAAGTAGGAGTTTGGCGTTGATTACAAAGAGGTGTTTGCTCTAATTGCAAGGCTAGACACTATTCGACTAGTGCTCTCTATGGCTGCACAAAATTCATGGTCTATCTTCCAATTTAACGTGAAGGCAACCTTTTTACATGGCGAGTTGCAGAAACAAGTGTATGTTGATCAACTACCTGGGTATGTACAACAAGAGAGTAAGAACATGGTATACCGATTAAAAAAGGCACTCTATGGACTGAAACAAGCACCGAGAGCTTGGTACAGCTACATAGATGCTTATTTTTCTAAGGAAGGTTTTCAAAAATGTCTATATGAGCATACACTTTATATGAAAATTGGACTTGGAGGAAAAATTCTTGTTGTATGCTTGTATGTTGACGATTTGATCTACACAGGAAATGATACGGCTATGTTTGATGATTTTAAACAATCAATGATGTCAGAGTTTGATATGACAGATCTTGGAATGATACACTACTTTTTTGGCATCGAAGTTGTGCAATCTTCTGTTGGTATTTTTATTTTTGAAAAGAAATATGTTCAAGAGATTTTGGATAGGTTTCAAATGAAGAATTGCAACCCAGTTGGCACACTAACAAAACCTGGTTTGAGGCTCATGAAGGATCCCGGAGGAAAGAAGGTAGAAAACACTCTCTACAAGCAGATTGTAGAAAGTTTAATGTACTTGATAGCAACTAGGCTAGACATCATGCACGCGGTGAGTCTCATCAATAGATATATAGAACGTCCAAAAGTGCTTCACCTCCTTGGGCTACTTTACAGGAAGGAAAAGAATTTGACTTTGTTTGGCTTCACAGATAGTGATTATGCAGTGGATGTGAATGATAGAAAAAACACATCAGGTTATGTTTTTATGATTGGATCTGGAGCAGTTTCATGGTCATCAAAGAAACAACAGATTGTTACTCTCTCTAATACCGAATTTGAGTTTGTGGTAGCAACATCATGCGCATGTCAAGCTATTTGGATGAGGAAGTTACTTGAAGAATTACACTGCCATCAACAAGGTCCAATTCTAATTTATTGTTATAATAACGCTGCCATCAAGTTATCCAAAAATCCTATTTTTCATGGAAGAAGCAAACATATAGATGTGCCGTTCCATTTTCTACGTGATCTCACAAAGGATGGAACTATAAATACGATATTTTTAGAAGTGCAGACCATGCTGCAGACATTCTAACCAAACCTCCCAAATTTCTTACATTCTTAAAGCCGAGACTATTGCTTGGTGTTTGTTCTTTGAAAGATTTTGCTTAAAGATGGAGTTGTGATACATGGGTGCTGAAGTGTTTTTTTGTTTCTTTCTAAACTAATGTCAGAACATTCAGTTTAAGGGAGGGTGTTGAGAGTTTTTTTAATTTGCTTTGAATAAGTTTTAGTTGTCCTATTCCATAGGCAGTTAGTTGTTCATCTATTCTCTAGGAGTATCCCACTAGTAAAGGAATCCGTTAGTAGTGATTTAGTTGTTTCTTATTTTCAGCAAAGTTAGTTTTGTATGATTCTATTTAAGTAGCAAATCATCAATGAATAGAGTGTTGAATTGCCTCTACTTCTCTCTTGTGTTTTCTATATACTTGTTTGGTTTTGACAACTCATACATTTTCATTGTAATATCACTTTGTTCATCACTTTTTGACAATCAACCTTTTACGCTTTTAAATCAAATTGCAATGTTATCCTTCTATCCATTTACTATTAATGAGGTTAACAAAAATTAAAAGTAAAGAAACCAAAGTAAGATTCAAGTGAATGCGTAAGTGCAAGAACCAAAGTTAAATTTTGATGAAATATAGGAATGCTAATGAGATTTAAGAATGGGGGGGGGAGTCATATTTAGGTTACATGACAAGTTCCGTTAACCACCAAGGGGCCATCCTAGTTGGTAAGGGAGTATGTTATTCTCCTTACCGACCTGGGCTCCAATCTCCTACTACTCAAGTGGAAGTCCGACGGTTTAGGTAGATCGTTTACCTTCCCCCTGTTTGGTTTGTAAGGGTGGATCCTAAAGGTCCTGCCTTGGGGGTGTTCTGGGTATTAAAAAAAAAAAAAGAAGAAGAAGAAGAAGACAAGTTCCGTCAGTTTTATTAACCAACCTGACTTAAAATGAATGGAGTTAACTGTCATAATTATTAAAAGGGTAAATTACAAATACACCCCTAGAGGTTTGCTTCAAATATATATTGGCCCTTATGATTTGAAAAATTAGAAATATCCATTTGTCAGAATTTTTTATTAAACAAAATTAACTAAAAAATTAAAATTCATAACTACTCTCTTATACAATAAAAAAATTGTTTGAATTATTAATGGAAATATATTTATAGTAAATAATTTATTAATAAAATTGACGATTTGGTATGAAATTAGAAATTTCAAGAAATGAAATGTAATTTTCAGAACCACTTAAGACGATTTGTTTTTTAAATAAATCTCAAAAAATATATTTATAATTTATCTTAATTATTAAAAATAAAGAGAGCAAAGGAAAACTACAATACTTTAAAGGTGTGGCGCAGTTTAACATTTTTTTTATTGGTAAAAAAAAAATAAAAACTTCATTGACGATGATAAAAAATACAAGTTGTACACAAAAAAACATCAAATACAAACCATAAAGTTTAACATGGAAACTTTAAATACATCCAATACGGAAACTTTAACATGCTGCACGCAAACCATAAAGTTTTAATAATAATATAGGCTTATTTATAAACTCGTGGAAATTAAGAGCAAAGAGCAGTGCTTCAGAACCTCAGTGGGGTTTGCATTTCTCTCACATAATGCTACAGCTGTCACCCTCAGCCGCAAGGTCAGCCGCAGCCGTAGCGCCAGCAACAGTCGCACCCTCAGCGCCAGCCACAACCGCAACGCCAATCGCTGACTCGAGTAATCTGAGCAGCCAAGTCGACTTCTTCTGAAAACATAAAAAACCATAAATAAAAAAAGAAAAAAAAAAGAAAAGAAATTAGATAAATAACTTGAGAGTTTAACTTCTATAACTTAAACCTTAATTATGTGTTCTGTTTATTAGAGTAAGGTCAAGTTTGATAACTAAAAAATAATTTATCTTTTTATCTTTTTTTTATTACATCATTTCTTTATTTTTTTGTATATTTTTTTTATAAAAAGATAAAAAAATACATTTATTTGAATCATCCCAAATAATTCCTAAAATACAATTGAATGAAATAACTATTTCTTAACAATAGTAAATAATGATGCAATTTATAATATTTTTTTTATTACCTTTTTAAAGAATCAAACGTGGAAATTGATAAAATAATAACATTGTGAGATTTAATGGTGCACATATTTTTGTAACAGGACCCGTAAATAATTAATTCTAATTATTCAATTCTTCCAGTAAAACTAGATTATAAGTTTTTAATTTTTTTTTTAAATTAAACCGTTGATTTTTAAATTGAACATAATAATATCCATCCATCCATCTTTTCAAAAAGTTCAGAAAAAAAAAACAAATAGTCTTAAAATTCTTACATAATTATATTTATTTCTTTTTTAGTAAGGCTAAGAAAATATAAGGATAATAATATATATATATATATATATATATCAGTATAAAAGATGTGATAATATCAATTTTATGTCTATATGACTAAACATTTAGTCATGAAAATAGGATTAAATATTACGTGCATTAAAATCTCTAAGAAAGTTAATGTAATTACGTTAAAATTGTGAAATTTACTATATTTTTGCCAAACCTCATAGGAGGTTACTGTAATTTACCTAAAATATAAATTGAAAAAGCAGGGGATAAATTACACCATTAGTCCTTGTAATTTAAGCGAAGTGTAACTTTAGTCTCCATAGTTTCAATTTGAACCCTTAACTCTTCATTTTGTTGCAATTTTGTTCTTTTGTCATGTGTTAATATTTTTGGTGTTCGCACATAATTTCTTTTGAGTGAATTTAAAAGAAAATAATAATAATAATAGTGATTACTAATATAGTTTTTTTTAAATTTCACTTTGATTTTTCTAATTTTATGTGTTTTTTTTTTCGTTTAAAATTTTAACAACTGTAAATAATGGAGGGATAACATTGTAACAAAATTGAAAATATGAAGTTCAAATTGAAACTACAAGAACCGAAGTGAAACTACAATCATACTAGCAAGAAATTATTTAATGCTCTTGGTACAAGTATAGGTAGGACTTTTCTTAAGTGTGCAGCTTACACCTTACACTTACGCCTTTCTGTTTGCTGTCCTGTTTTATGTTTATACATTCCACTTATACTTTTTGTGTTGGTTGCATATGGTGTGCAACCTTAAGGGGTTGTACACCATAACAGCACCCGTATAGGTAATGTTCCAAATGACCCGTTATTGGTTTAAATCATGAAATCCACCACTTTTGTGTTAAAATTTTAAGAGATAAAGTGTTAAGTGTCAATCAATAAATGAGAGTATTGCTCCGTGGGTATTGAATAATTTCTCCATACTAGAGGGATCAACAATGTTAATATATATATATATATATATCTCATATAGTTCAAGAAAATCGCGTGACTGTATGTCTATCCAATAATATATTGTTATTCCTATACCACTCTCTTGATCTTAAACCCATGTAATTATTAAGGCCATGCTATTGCATGGCAGTATACTATTTTGATTGGACCGCGAAGGTGAAATTTGAAGATAGGATAATTACGAGGAGAGAGAGAGAGAGAGGGGTGTTACCTTAGGCTCTTCCGAGAGAGGAGGTGGCATTGTGGTATCCATAGCCATCTTTCTCTTAGCTTCAAGCAAAGCAAAGTTATCCAAGAAACAGTCAGGCAAATGTTTATGGGTGTAACTTTTATTTTCATTGCTAAAACACTTGGGGCAAACGCAGAACTTGTCGTCTTTATTGTCGAAACATATCGAACAACTAAAGAACATCCCTGGTATGTACTTACCACATCCTCCACAGAAAGGTCTTCCACTCTTAATAATGTAGTACAGAGCCATCACCTCCTTGAAATCCAAACTTCGATCACGGTTCATGTCGAGCACTTTGAACATTTCTGGTGGATTTTCCTCTTTTACGAGTCCTTTCCTCCTTCATGTTGTTCAAGAATTCAGTCAGACTTACTATGTGAGTGATTTTTCAATCACACTGCCCAACTCAGTATTCAGCTGGAGAACACTGGCAGAATAGATGACACCTAGCTAACCTGTAACAGAAAGAGAAGATTCCAGCGATAGTTCGTCCACCCGGGGGCACTCCGACGATCAAGTCAGTATATCTCTCAAAGATAATCAAAAAGTGCTTAACTCACTAGACAGAATATAAATTGCGTACCTTAGACCCACGGGGGTGCCTCTTTTTTATAGCTAACTCAATCCTAGTCCGAATAAAAGCCTAATCTCTATGGATTCTTGTTCAGTATATACTTTGGATTCCTCAAGGGATATGGATAGATTCCCTAAGAACATTATCCTTATCCATCTTGAAGTCTTCCTTCATTCTAGGACTCTTGTCCTTTATCCGCTTTTCTCGGACTCTGATATCTTCGGAGATAACCTCGGCTTAACCGAGATTACCTCGGCGTCATGACCTGGACACGTGGCATCTCGGCTGATACGTCGGCGTCACCTTGCCACGTGTCGGTACTCAAAAATATATCCCCACAACTGCCCCCTAGGTTCTATTACCTCAGCATTCTGAGGTGATGGAACCTACATCAGTACCCCATGCTAATTCGTTGGTTTAAGCCGAGATCATCATCTTAGGCCGACATATCTTTTTAAAGATCAAGAATTCCAAGAGCTCCTTCACGCGTATAAGCTGTCATTCATAACAACTCAACTATTTAAGCCACGTGTTTTCTCGTTACTGGATCGTACTCCGGACGTACCTATGTTTCGCGCCTACATGCGCCGTCTGACGCATTCGCTATCCCAGGCGCATTAATTGTCCTCTTTTGCCGCCGTTTCAAGTTTTTGACAAAACTTGTTTTTTCCTTCTTTCGTGTTCTTCACTTTTACATCGATTCCCTTGCTTTTTCTCTCTCTAGCTCTTGAATACGCCATTGTTCTGGATCTCAAGCTCTGCAACTGCCTTCATTCTTCCTTCTAGTGAAGCTTCTGCCATTTCTGTCACTTCTATAACCATTGTCTGACTTCGGCGATCCTTACACCGGCTTCTTTTCTTCGGTAAGTTTATTGTTCCTTTCATTTTCCATTCTTTGATGCTTTCTATTACTTACTGCCATTACTGCATTTGTTCAAACCTTTAACTTGTGAATCATCCATCTGAATGCGTTCTTTCACGATTTTTCCCTTGCCTATATCTTGAACACACGCATTGTTTCACCACTTCCCTGTGTTTTTGCCACTGTTCTTGGCCCTATACTTCTTGTATTCTTTATGCTCTTGATAGACCATCTCTGTTCTTGATTTTCAAAACTCGTTATTGTTTATGTTTTTTTTTGTGTAGATTCGTGCCTTCAGTCTTTAATTCCATAGACTTAGGTTTTGGGATTTGTCTGTAGAACTCATAATTTAGGAAAAAACTGAAACGAACTTTCTCTAGATCCATACAAACCTTTATCAAAGTGTACTTTTAAGTTTTTAGCCGAGGTCCTTTAAACCTTCCAAAAATACTTCTTCTTGAAATACGATATCTCCATTTAAGCCGACATCATGGGCATGTAGAAACATAGAGTAAACACCCCATCCAAACTAGAATTCTTTAGACAAGAGTTTGAAATCCCAGCCGACGTCCATCTAAGGTTGGCTGGGGATGATGACTCTATCATGCCTACTGATCACTCCATGCCCTTCCCCTGTGGTAGCCTTCATTGAGTGTGGACTTCGGCTCCCACTCAACATCCTTTTTCGTGAAATACTTCATTATTACAAGTTGAACCCAATGCAACTTTCCATCAACTTCTATCGAACCATCAATGGTATCATAGCCTTAGCAAAACAAGAGAACGCTAGGATCACACTAGCCGATATCCAGTATTGCTACACTATGTGTGGCCTCAAAAAAGACACCGGCTACCTTTACTACCTTAAGCCGAGGTCTACCAAATACAAAATTGTCGCCGACCTCTCTGATTCCAACAAGGGAGCTGGGGATGATTATTTCATTACTTCGGGGAACTGGGAGTTCGCCCCAGATGAAGACCTCCATCTCTTCTCTTTCCTTCGATCAGTCTTTGTAGAGGGCAATGGTAAGAGCCCTACATTCATACCTACTTGTTTTTAAAGTCCTTCATACTTTATCCATTTCTTAGTGTTTATTTTTCTTGCAGCTGTTCCTAAGCCACCAAAGAACTTTCACCAATCCTTCGTTCCCAGCAAGGATTTGAAGAGACTCTTGGACCTGCCAATTCATAAACGAACGGCGCCTCTGCTTCTCAATTTTATTCCAATGTACAAGTCAGCTTTGCCCGACGTCCCTAGGAGGAAGAAGAAAAGCCTTTCTCCACCCTCTGCCACAACGCCACAGACCGCATCCACATCTCGGACAGACTAAGGGTCAATCTCTGATCTAGCCGAGCAACTGTCAACTTCGGCCCCATACTTGATTCCAATATCCCAACGCCGCCGTCGACGCCAATCAGTTTCTACTGCTGAGATGGGTCACCCTAAACCAGTTGCAAAAGATCTCTTGGCCAGCATCCCTTCTGATGTTGATGCACAACCAACACAAACCCTGCCTCTACCGAAGCCGAAAAGAATAAAAAAGGCTCAGCCAAAAGCTAAAGTTACTCAAATTGAGTCTGGCGATGCTCTGCCAATCTCCAAGTTGGCTGAGAGTGACAAATCTCAACCTTCTGCTGGGAAGAGGCGCTCTGAAGCCCAACCATTCGAATCGCCTAAATCAAAAAAGCCGAGGTCATCTTTTGCAACGACCTCGGGGTCTAAGAAACCTGCTGCCCCCTGGGCCCCCGAAATTACCTTGGAAGATAAGCTAGTCATTTCGGGGAACTGGGAGTTCGCCCCAGATGAAGACCTCCATCTCTTCCCTTTCCTTCGATCAGTCTTTGTAGAGGGCAATGGTAAGAGCCCTGCATTCATACCTACTTGTTTTTTAAAGTCCTTCATACTTTATCCATTTCTTAGTGTTTATTTTTCTTGCAGCTGTTCCTAAGCCACCAAAGAACTTTCACCAATCCTTCGTTCCCAGCAAGGATTTGAAGAGACTCTTGGACCTGCCAATTCATAAACGAACGGCGCCTCTGCTTCTCAATTTTATTCCAATGTACAAGTCAGCTTTGCCCGACGTCCCTAGGAGGAAGAAGAAAAGCCTTTCTCCACCCTCTGCCACAACGCCACAGACCGCATCCACATCTCGGACAGACCAAGGGTCAATCTCTGATCTAGCCGAGCAACTGTCAACTTCGGCTCCATACTTGATTCCAATATCCCAACGTCGCCGTCGATGCCAATCAGTTTCTACTGCTGAGATGGGTCGCCCTAAACCAGTTGCAAAAGATCTCTTGGCCAGCATCCCTTCTGATGTTGATGCACAACCAACACAAACCCTGCCTCTACCGAAGCCGAAAAGAATAAAAAAGGCTCAGCCAAAAGCTAAAGTTACTCAAATTGAGTATGGCGATGCTCTGCCAATCTCCAAGTTGGCTGAGAGTGACAAATCTCAACCTTCTGCTGGGAAGAGGCGCTCTGAAGCCCAACCATCCGAATCGCCTAAATCAAAAAAGCTGAGGTCATCTTTTGCAACGACCTCGGGGTCTAAGAGACCTGCTGCCCCCTGGGCCCCCGAAATTACCTTGGAAAATAAGCTAGTCATGGCTAACAATAGCGTCGATGATATCAATGTCGGCGTTGCGCTCAGTACTGCTCTGCTTCTTCCAGACGATTGGGAGTGAAACGCCGAGTTCAGCGAGTATGAGAACTATGCCTTGATGCTTCAGTGTTCCGTTCAAGTAAGTGTCTTCCATTTGGCACTTTTTCCCTTCTTTTTTATACTTAAAAATTTTCTAATAACTTTCGTTTTGTTCAATTTCAGGCCATTCAGCATGCTCATTCCTTCTCAATTCAGTCTTTTGAGAACCGGGAGAAGTTGGCTGAGATAAAGAGGGAGTTCTCTTCTCTTCAAAAGACCAATAAAGGCTTACAATAAAAAATGAAGAAGTTGGAAGACCAGGCTGAGGCCGCCATTAAGGCCCAAACTGATGCCGAAGAAAAAGACGAATCTGCTGAAGCCATTAGGAAGGTCTCAGAGGCCCAAAAAAGAGAGGCCGAGGAAAAGATGGAGCAGGCCCAAAAAGAGCTTCAAGAGGCCTTGGCCACGAAAGAAGCCGAAATCCAGGATGCCAATGAGAAGGCATATGCGCAAGGTATGGCCGATGTCACGGAGGCTTATGAAATTCAAGTGAAGCAGGCATGCAACAAGGGTTTCACCCTTGGTTGGATGTCTCTTCTAAAGAAGCTTAATTTCCCCGAGGACTCGCCCTTCAGAAATGCCGACCTCATTCCTCTCCCATTCCCTCCAGCCCCAACTCCAACTCTTGCTCAATCTGGCAGTGATTCTGAATCTGAGGAGGAGATTTTGGTGAGAAAGCCAAAAGATGCTGCTGGGGTCAAGTCTCCTCCTCAGAATGAGCAAATCCTAGACTTGACTCAAGATGAGAAAGGTGATGAGATTCCTGAAGACCCTGCTCCTGAGAAGGCATCAGCCGACGTCACCATTGTTGATAAGAGCCTAGACGAAACCTTGCAAGAGATTGATGCTGAGCTTGCAGCAGAGAAGACGGCCGAGGTGACTCCTCAACAATCTTCCGAGGTCCCAACCCAGCTCACTGCCGATGCTGAGGAATCTTAGTTTTCGTGTCTTTTCTTTCGTTCTTTGTTTTTCTTTGTTTTTGAAACAATGTAAGCCCTCCATATGGCCGACAGAGATGACAATTTGAAACCGGCCCGACGGGGATCCCCGATCCCGACTCCGATTTTAGCGGTTTTTC